TAACGAGAGGTCGTAGAGAAGTAAAAGAAGTGGCCTCATGTGAGCTCCAGTTGATAATACATAAGCTAAAACAGCTTCGCTGAATTCGTGGAGCATTGAACAAAAGCAGGTAATTGTTGTTAATAAATGTTTTAGAAGGGGAAGAGAAAAATCACATCGCAATTTACCTAGTTTTATTTGCAATTACAGTTAATCTTTGGTAGTTGTTCTTGTATAACGTATTGTAGCTTTCATTCAAAAGTGCTGACACCAGATGTGCATTTGTCTGAAGAAGCATCTTTTTGCAGAATCGTTGGAGTAGTGTTAGTGATTACACTAGTAATGCAATATTCGATGAGCATATGCGATCAATTGTACCACCGGCTTTTCGTAATAGTAAAGCGAAAGTTGTCTGGCAAGAGCCAAAATCATTAGGTAAAATTTCATTTCAATTGCATTAGTATTCTCAGCTATTTGAAGACAATGAATTGGAAAATTAAAAAGAGCAATATTTTTCTAGAATACCAAACATACTTCAGAAGCAAACATCAATGAAGCATTGGGCATCTGGCAAGCAACGCTTATCAACCAGTTTTCCTTAGAACAGGAACCATTAAGTGGTTTGTTTCAAACGTAGTGTTTGACCTCCGATTTTATGCACTAAATCAAGTTTGGTTCTGCCTTTTTTTAAATTGGGCGATTGATTCTTTCTTTTTGTTTACTTCTTTGTTTGTTTGTTTTCTTGTTTATATGTTCTATTTAAAAATTTGTTCTGTTTTATAACGGCATACTAAAATAATTGTAGTCCTAAGTGTCGTCATTCAGATATATATGAGCAAGAATATTATATCATCTAGCATTTTTCAAGTTGTTTTGTTTTAAGAATGACTGGAAGAAGATACCATATTAATTGCAATATTAATTATAAAAACTAGCCACTTTCCTCCATCATTTACTAATTGTGGCACAACAAGGGGATGGTCGCAACCTGAAATTGGTTGGTACTTCATTCTTTGTTTTATTGTTTTACTACTGGAGCTAATAAATGTTTCGATTGTACCTCGGTTATGTTTTGGGAGTATTTTAGAACAACGAAATTGGGATATGTCTACTCATTCACAAACAGTACGAGCAGTAGTACCATTTTGTGGTAGTCTAATTCAAAATAAATTATGGCCAAATGAAGAGCAAGTTTGGGGTAGTGCTCAGCGTCCTTCAGTATTTCCAATAGCTCTACCACCGCCTGCTTATGCTGCAAATAAGTATTTGAATTAATGTGTGAAGTAATTGTGTTTTTTAATCTTTTTTTTTTAAATCTTTATAGGCTGGCAGCAAAATGCACCACGTGGTAACGTTTTTCCTCCGCCGACACGATTCAGCAGTCCACCATTCGAAAGTAACGCTGTAATGGGAAATTGGGTGCAGCGTCCGATAAATGAGCCAGTACAGCCGCCGGTGCCACCGTCTGCAATTCCACCACCGCAGCGAAGTCGGCTGCAAAATGTTTGGGGTGGCACACCAGCTGTAAACAATACAGTCAATGGAATGTATCTCTCGCCACCTACTGTCAAGTACAGTGTAAGATTTCTTCCATCTTCATTATGTCAAATATCAGAAGTACTGTTGGGTGTATTAGGAAGTTAAAGTGTTTTATAGAATTTCTTGAATGATATTTTGAAAGGTTCGTTGTTGTTTTAGGGACACCCAGTTTCATTGCGATTTGTTTTGATTTATCTTGAAGTCTAAAAATTGTGACTTAATCAAATTCGATGAAACACATTCGATGAAATGATAAAAATCAAATTCGATGAAATGATAAAAATCAATATCATTGACTAAGCATTTCATCATTTTAGATACCAAATGGGTTGACACAATGGAATCCTTCAACAGGTAGCAATGGTGCAACAGTAACTGTTGTACCAAAACCACAATTTGCCCAAAAGTTTGTGAATCGTTCTTCTCCTCCCAACACTTTCAATTCGTATTCACAAGTCTCCACATCTGATTCGATTGGTGTTTTTCCACTGATTTTCCATTTTTGAAACGACACATCCTCATTTCATCGTTCTGTTTATACTTGCTTGCACCATGTCCAGGATTTTAAATCTTATCACTGTTGTTTGCAGTTTATGGGAGATAATGCTATCTGGCAGGATCCAGAAGATGAAGTACGTAAATGGCAACGAGATATTGTTACTGTTGCATGGGGTGATCCTGGGAAGCAACAAAGTTATCTTTTTACTTATCGTATGACTGCACTTTATTGAATTTATTGATAACAGTGTTATCAGTTCAATCTTTCAGAAGAAATCAAACGATGGATTATACCAGTCGGAAAAGAGTACGATAACTCAGATAACGAAAGCGGTAAGTTTGGCTTTCAGATCGTAACAGAATTCCTATGTTAGTCGGTACTTATTCTATTCGCCTCAAGAAAATATATTTCATTTCAGGCGTTCGTGTAATCATTCCTCTTGGTTGGGGCGATCTTCCCTTAAAATCATCGAATAATAATGCTGCACCGATCTTGGCGAATTCTCTTCCAGCGTAACCAGCTAAAAGTGCGTAAGCGATTGCTGTCACGGCTTCATCAGGTTTGTTATAAATCTGGTTGCTCATACGTTGTGGATTGTTCTGGATTGGCATTGTATGCTTTTCTGGGTGTATTAAAAAGGGCTTAATTATTCTAAGAACCTGATGGCTAAGGATCATTTTACTCGCCAGGTTGCATTTGAACTGAGTGATTTCAGATCTTTTTTTCGGAAATATTTTTTGAAACTGTTCGTTTAGGATGGGATAATCGTTCGGCTTCAGGAACTGTGAAATCAATAATCATTCCAACTCTTTGGAAAATTCTATCTGAACATCAGCCTCCATCACTAGAAAATGGTTGGATACCGCCAGATAGTATGGGCAATGCAACCATGTCTGCTTCAACGCAACAAATTGTTGAACAGCTACATCAGACTGTTGCGAAAGGTACTATAAGCTGGTTTACCGTGGATTACCAATATAAGAAGATCACTAGAAGATATTTTGATTAATTCATTAACTCATACCATTTCTTCACAGACATAACAATATCAGTTGAAGTCATTTTCATTAATTCATTAACTCATACCATTTCTCCACAGACATAACAATATCAGTAGAAGTCATTTTGATTAATTCATGCCACTTCTCTGCAAACATAACAATATAACTGGAAGACGTTCTGATTACTTCATTAACTCATACCCTTTCTCTACAGATATAACAATACCACCTGAAGATATTTTGATTAATTCATTAACTCATACCATTTCCCTATCCATATAACAATATCACTAGAAGACATTTTTAATTCATTAATTCATACCATTTCTCTAATAGATATAACAACATCATTGGAAGACTTATTGATTAATTGATTAACTCATACCATTTCTCTATAGATATAACAATATCACTAGAAGACATTTTGATTAATTCATTAACTCTTACCATTTCTCTACCAAGATAACAAGATCAATAGAAGATATTTTGATTAATTCTTTAACTCATTCCATATCTTGCCGATATAATAATACAATTAGAAGACATTTTGATTAATTCATTATCTCATACTATTTCTCTACCAAGACAACAAGATCAGTTGAAGACATTTTAATTAATTAATTAATTTTAATTAATTCATTAACTCATACCATTTCTCAGCAGATACAACAATGTCACTAGAAGATATTTTGATTAATTCATTAACTCATACCACTTCTCTATCAGGATAACAAGATCAACAGAAGACATTTTGATTAATTCATTAAGATCAACAGAAACGACATCACTAGACGACATTTTGATTACTTCGTCAATTCATACCATTTCTAAACAGATATAACAATATCACTGGAAGACATTTTGATTAATTCTTTAACTCATTCCATTTCCTGCCGATATAATAATATCATTAGAAGACATTTTGATTACTTCATCAACTCGTACCATTTCTCTACAGATAAAACTAGATGATATTTTGATTAATTCATTAACTCGTACAATTCTCTACCGATATAACAATATCACTTGAAGATATTTATATTAATTCATTAATGATACCATTTCCTATCGAGAGAATAATATCATCAGAACAAATAAAATTTAATTTTAATTCTTAAATTGAATTAAAACCATCATTAATTGAAAGTTTTATTTGTTCTGCTGATGAATTTTTGCGCAAAACTTAATTACAAAAGCGTATTTTCATATTAAAATTCAAAATGTCGCTATTTTTAGTAGTTTTGGCACATAATTAAAATTGGTATTTTAGAACCAATTTCCTTGTTAAATTTAAGAAAAGTATTACAAATTTTAAGATTGTTAAAAGATTCAAAATTTGAATTTGAAATAAAATTTTAATGATTAATTGAAAGTTTTATTAATTTTGCTGATGAATTTTTGCGCAAAACTTATTTACAAAAGCGTATTTTAATATTTAAACTGTAAAATGACCACACCATATATGACCAGTTATATTTCAATGCATATAACATAATCACATAATCAATTAAGTTCAAAATATTGCTACTTTTAGTAGTTTTGGCACTTAATTAAAATTGATTTTCTCGTTTAATGTACAAAAACTATTACAAATTTTAAGATTTTTAAAAGAATCAAAATAAAACCATGAACAATTGGAAGTTTTATTCATTTTGCTGATGAATTTTTGCGCAAAACTAAATTACAAAACCGTATTTTAATATTTGTTATTGATTGTTAATTAATTGCATCTCCTAACTTTTCCCTAACTTCCATTCTCCTTTTTATCATACAGCTTTGAATTAGATTTTTGGAATTTCAAATGAGTTTAATGCTTGCTTCCTGCTTATGAATTAATAAATTGTTGCTAAAATTAATTTGAAAAATTTTCACCCATTTATTTTGCTTCTAAGTTGACATTTTGCAATCAGATGATTCAATTTGTAACACATGTAATATTTGTGAATATTTTAAGATAAAAAAATTTGTTCGTAAACTCTTAACTATCCGCTGCTACCGGAACTTTTGCATTTCAAGAAGTTGATCAGTGTTCGGATAAGGATTCGTTTTGTAAACCACCATAAAAAATCGAACGGTTTGCCTGTTCCTAGATATCGAGTAAGAAGAGTTCGGTTAGTACCAGATATATTAGCTCGTCCAGTTCCATGAACATCTGTTACACCACCTGTTGGCTTAACTATTGCTCTCTTATTGAATGTTACAAGTAGATCAAGTACGACACCATTAGTCCATCCAAAGCCATACTGAAATACTAATAGCAGAATAACAAAGTTGAAATACTAATAACAATACCATCATACCTGATTTTCATATTCGCCACCTTTAGCAGCTCGTACATATTCTTTTGCGACATCGTATTTTTCCCACATTTTATGATCTTTTTGATATAGAGCGTAATTTCGATTAATCCATTTATTGGCAATTTCAAATGCGCGTTGTTGCATTCTATAATATCATTCAGAAACTATCATAATTTAACTTTAATTTTGATTGTATCAAAAAGCCAGTTAAAAAAAAAAAAAAAAAAATTTTATCTTCATTACTATACATAATAATTCCTCATGTTAATAGCTCGAAAACACCTAATCTTATTTATTTTTTTTATAATATCGTTGACAACATCTAATTCATTTAAACTAATTTAAATATTATATTGCTGTCGTAGAAAGGATTTATCTTACAATAACGACAATTTTTAAACTTTTATATATGAGTCATATTTCAATTATAATATTGTTATTTTATAGTTAAGACATAAATTTATACAAATTTATACTGTCGTATGATATTGATAATTGTTAATGATTAACTCTTCTTTTTCCTTTTTCTTTTATGAAATTTTTTTTTATACCATGAAAAGAAAGTGACAAACGTTGGATTATTTGATTTACGTAATCCTTCAATGATCATATGATTTATTGGTGCCCAACCATTTGGATAATCCCATTGTTGATTGGTACCTTTCATTAAGCTATAGTGGATTAAAATTATAAATAACAACAAGACGAATGAAGAATTATGTTTGATACTAGAAAAAAAAAATCTGCTTGAAAAGGAGTTGGTAATAGAAATTTAATCTAATCTAATAAAAGAGATAGAAATGAGAAAAGAAGAGCAAAAAAAGAGAAAAAAAGTTCTTCTTATTGCTAAAATCTAAAATTTTCCTTAATTATTGCATCCTACTTCCAATCATTAACTAATTAATTTGAATTTGATCTTTATTTTAAACTCAATTGAAAAAAATTTCAAAATTAAGTGTGAATTTAACATTTAATAAATGAAATAGTAGCATTAATTTTTTTGTTCTTTATTTTTAATTATAATTATTGTAACCTTGCTGGTATGCCACCTGGAAATTGTAATAATCCTTTTCGTTGTAATGTTTCTAAGACATCAGCCACCATAGCACTGTTTAGCATATGGTAGCATTCGGTAAAAAGTGGTACAGCTAACGATGGATATGCGTCATCGTAATGCTCACCGGTTTTTAGGTTTAAGTCAAACCATGCACCTTCACGTGTATCAAAAAAGACTGCTTCAAATGTATCCACAAAATTTGATCGTTCTCGATTTAACTCATCGCGTCGAGTGAGATTACCTAATAATAATATAACTTACTACCTAATAATAATAATAACTATAAGGATTATTTTGCAGTTATCTTAAATTTCAAAATAATTCCGGCAAAACTGTTTCTTTTTGATACATTATACGAGTAAATTGTGCATTATTTTGGTATGCTTAAATAATTATATAAATGTTTGACAAAAAAAAAAGGAAAAAGAGAACAAGACTTAATGTACGTTTAATATGATCTTAATGTAGTTTGAATATTCTTAATATACGCTTAAATATTTTTAATGTACGTTTAAATATTCTTAATGTACTTTTGATTTTAATAAGATTATTGATTTTAATAAAATTATTTGGTTTAAAAAATTTTTTTTAATTTTTCTTTAAGAATTTTACAAGTTTTTTGTCTTCAAAATTTTTTCGATTTATGAGGAAGTAGGTGCTTATGTGATCGAAGAAATGAGATAATTTTTATTTTTTATTTTTTTTAATATAATATTTATCAAACATTTTTTTACAAGAATAAGCTTCAAATTTTCATTTTTATTTTTTAAAGTCTGCAAAAAATAGATTTTAAAAATATAAACATCTTCGTATGCATTGGAACTTAACGTAACAATATTTTAGGCTTTAATTGTAAATTATCATTTATTAGTCAGAAAAGTAATAAAATATATTACCAATTTCTCCTTGAAGATGTGCTAGAATTTTCATATTCCAATACATGAAAGCGTTTAAGTCAACTGGAATAATATCAGATGTAACAATGGTATCCATACTTTTCCTGTTTTGAAACCATCGGCTACTGAAATCCCAACCCGATTCAGCAGCACTTGCTATATCACGCCATAATTTACGCCTTCTTTGTCGATCAACTCGTTCTGCTGTTTGATAATCTTCGCGATATGATTCTGGTCTAAAAAAATACTATATTCTTGATATCAGTAATATGTTGTATTTTTTTTTATATTTGTTTAAGAAATGATTTACTTGACTAATTAAGTAAATGATTATTAGATTAGAATTTTTTAAAGGTTTTACCGTGGTACATTACTATCTGCACGATAATAAAACACTGAATGATTTCTTTCATTAATCGTTACGTTAATCATTCGACTTGTTTTCCAAAAATTGAATTCCTAAAATTGAATTTTTTTTAAAATAGTTCAAATTTTATTAAAATTCATTTCATCATCCGATATATGTATGAAATAGAAGGAAGATATTTTAATTTTCAAAGACTTTTAGAATATTAAATAACTCTTCCAATCATTTTAATTTCATAAATTAACTATTATTGCTATTAAAAAAGTCTGAATTATTTATTACTTATTCATTCAAACTTGTTATATCCATATATTTAATTTATGGTTTTAAAATAAGGCATTAATAGATATTAAAAGAAAGTTTTGTTAAAATTAAAAAAAAAAAAAAAAAAAAAACCATTTCCATAGTATTCATTATGGAACGTAAAAAATCATCATCTTCAGTTGCCATATAATACTCATAAACCATTGGTATAAAAAGTGGTGGTTGTGAGCGGCGCAAATAGTACACTCGACCACCATTTGGTATAAAGCCAATTGTTTTTACCAAATATTCAAAATTAAGAATTATTCGACGTGATGTCTCCTGCATACCTAAATATTTGTGATGCTAAGGCAAATAATTTAATCAGTCTTATCTAATTTTAATAATTATACTTTATGCTCTAATCATTATTTACCTGAAGCAAGAAGACCTTTAATTACCCAATAAGTATCCCAGTAATAGAATTCCCGAAAACGACCACCAGGAACAATGAACTCATATGGCACATATAATAATGAATGTCGTTCTGGGTATTTCATAACCTAAAATTAGAAATTTTCAGGTAACAAAGATTAGAATTTATTTTGGCTCATTTTTATTTCCACCAGTTGTTTTGTTATCATTTAAAAATGTATCTTCAATATTTTAACGTACTAATGAATCTTCATACGAATATGACATAGATAAGTTTTGGCAAAAGTTTAAACAAAAAAGTAAAAATCAGAACTTGGAAATTGAATTTTTCGTTGAAATTAATATTAAAGTTTATCAGACTTTTTCTTCAATGTTATCCATACTTCTTTTTTAATTGTTCGACATAAACTTTTCCAAATTAAATTAACATTTAATGCAAATTGGCGTAATTGTGGATCAGTTATTGATAAGAGTTTCTCTGGTTGCTCTTCCCAATCCACTAATTCACATCTGATATATCAAAACTTAATTAGTATTTTCAATTTTAGGAAATTCAAAAGTTAGTTGTTCCATCACATACATTTAATTTTAAATATCTTTTTAAAAAACTTTTCTGAATACGCAACAAAATGAACACATTTTATACTAATCGAGTTACCAATTATTAAACATCCACAAATGGTTATGATTAAGATACAAAATGCAAAAAACATAAAAGTCATCCATTAATGAGCTAAGAATTTGAGCAAAAATTTCAATAAAATTGAAATTAATTCTTATAAATATCATATGATAGCTAAGGAAAATATAACATTGAAAAAATTTCAAAAAAGAACAATGAAATAGCAATAATTTCGACTGAATAATTAAGGATAATTAAAAAAAGAAACCAAATGAACTGGAAGAAATTATAATAAAATTTAATTAATTTATAAAAAAATTTGTTGAAATTTAACAAAAACAAAAAAAAAATACTTTTCTAATTCGTGCCCTTCTTCGTCAAAATTTTCATCAATAAATTGTCGTATAGCTTCACGATCATTTACTGTAATATCACGTGGAAATTTTTTCTTAAAATCTGATGCAATTTCAGTTGGATCACGTTTTAATGGTTTATCAACAAATGTTTTTGAATCTTTGAAAATGTTAAGCATCATTACAGCATGAAGTAATTCGCCTTGACAATAAATGATATAATTTGTGGAATGCTTCTCGTTACATGCCCATTCCGGTATTTCAATTATATTGCTTATAACATCTTCATCACTTGGTATACCAATATATTTATCACTATTTGGATCAATCGTTATCTTTCTTCCATTATCACTACTACTATCACTACTACTATTACCGCCTTTAACATTTTCACCAATGATGGTTTTTTCATGAATAATATCGCCTATTTTTTTATCACTAATATCTCTGATAACACTTGTAGTAGTGATATTTGTCGTATCCATATCCATATTACATGTCCCATGAATTTCACGTTTGCATAATGCTTTAAATGCTAATAAAGCTGTTTGTATGAAATCAACAGCAGCAATATGTTGCTTCATTAATGGTATCATTTGTAACTTATTTTCATCTATTAAATTCAGTTTTTCTTTCATCAATGATATTTCGTCTTTTCCATATTCAATAATATTTTTGAACCATCCATCTTTTAAATGATATTCTTCTTTAATTACTGTTAATTTTATCATAAATGTTCGGTGATATTTATATGTTATTGCTGCTATAATTATGAGTGATAATAATACTAGAAGGATATTTTGAATAAGCTTTTGCTTTTCCATCCTGAAACAAATCACTTTCCTCCTTAATTATAATATTATTTTTTTGCAACTAAACACTTTAATAATAAAGCAAATAACTATCAGCAAATAATTTGTTTTATTGAATGATCATTTATCAACATAATGATCAAATTAACGATTTTTATGTGGCAAATTTTGCATAGTTTCTGAAAATATGCTAGCATAAAAGTAAAAGGTTAAATAATAAAGCTTTGCTACTTCGAAAAATATTTTTTTTATATCATCATGCTTTAGTTTCAATTATAAACTAAAGTTTCATACTTTAAAAAAAAATTCTAATTACTTCGTTTTCTCTTTTTTTTGTACAATAAACATGAAAGATGCTGAAGTTAAATAAATTTGATAACGCTACGCTAAAATAAGTTGTAAAGCAACAAATGTGATTAATTCATCTATTACTGTAGCAATTTAGTCATATCAGAAAAGAAATTTTAGATTTTATATTTTGAATAAAAAATAAATTTTAATGTAAATGAATTTAAACACTCTTTCCTCCCTTTCTCTATTTCGTTTTGTATTTAAGCAAATTGTAGCAGTAAATTAACTTTATTGTCGTTAAAAAACAAAAGAATTATAGTTTGCACTTTTTTTTTTTGTTCATAAGCTTTCTAAATGAAATTTACTTTTTTTTCACTACTTTTTTGCTTCTAGCTGCAATTTAAATTGAGTAACTTCTGCAGAATTCGTGATCATAATTATCGATTCATCTAGTCACACATTATCAGAAGTGATTGCTGTAAGATTTCATCGAATATTATATTGAAATGAACAAACCTATTACTTAATTCAACCGTATAACAATTTAAAAAATTGTGCAATAAGTGATTTTTTCATTATCAATGCTTCATTATATATAATTTCAAGAAAAAAACATTTACAAAATTTGCATTTTTGAGAATTCTTGACAATAATGAATTATATATGCATTATATGTATTTACAATAATTAATTATATTCTAACTGAAAGTATATGGTTCTAAAAAAAAATGAAAGAAATTAATTTTATTATGGAATCCTTATTATGGAAAAAAAAATTAATTTAATTGGGATAAGCAAAATAGATGCACCATTCGGTTTCCTGAAAAAGAAATTAGTTTTAAAAAACAGGATAAATTGCAAATTTACTTATAAATTCATAATAATACTTCAATCAGTAATATCGAAAATTTTCACATTTATCATTTTTTCAAATTATTTTTACAAAATAAATTGTGAATTAATGAATAAAAATACCAAAAGTTATTTTGATTCTTAGAATGTACAAAAAAAGAAAAAAGAAAAAAAAATTGATCGGAAAATGGTGTGTTAATATTTCGCATAATCAATATATTACGATGATATCGATATTAATCATCTACAATGTTTTTTTAATATCATCTTTTTGATTGAATTCAATTAAAACGATTAAAAAAAATTAATACGAAGAAAACACCTTCTACTTTCTGATTTTTAGAACAAAGAAACAAGCAAAGAATGTGATGAAATTTGCATTTTAATATAATAATTTAAATGGTTGCATATTAAAGATTTAAATCAGTCTTTAATTTAACATTTATTGTGTCCAGGTGCTTTTACTATTCTCTTTTGCCCTAAACTATTCTTCGAAAAATTTAAACTATTTGATTTGAGAAAGAAAAGGAAATTAGATATTTGTTTATTAGATACGTTTCTCTCTTTTTGCATGTGTTAAAAAGTTTTTCTCTCTCATATTTTTCACTAATAAAGCATAAATAGTTATTTGAATAAATTAGATAATTACAAAAAACATACTAGCATTTAATGAAATTGAAAAAAAATGCATGGATTAAGAAATAAATTAAGAAAATAACAAATAAAAAGCTATATTAATAATATTGATTTAATTTACTCCATTAAATGATTTAATATTGCTTGTAAATTAGAATTTTTTTTAATGCTAATATAACAAATAATTAAAATTCTAATAATTATAGATTTAGCTGAAGATGCGCGAGATATCATGGTTATTGATTATAGTTGCATTTATGATCGATTATAATTTCAATGAATTTCAATCATTGAGTCCATTTATATTAATGAATAATTTTGATAAGCAAATTATTAGCAAAATAATGGTAAAAGGAGTAAAAAGCAAGAGAAAAGCTAAAGAAATGGCATCAACGATTGCTAATATTGAAAGCACCGATTTGAGACGTCGAAATTTTCTACCCAGCCGTGATATTATTACAAGCACTGTTATTGCTTCACCAATTTATCCGTGTGACGAAAAAAATGCACCAAATTATATGATTTATTGTCAGGGTGAATTGTTACATACTGTATTATTAAGTAATATTTTCAACGATTCAAAAACATTTGTGGATAAACCAATTAAAAAAGAACCAGATGAAATAATTAGTGCATTTAATCAAAAATTTCCTAATCAAATTACCATCAATGATCGAGAAGCACTGATATCATTTGTGGATGAATATTTTGATACCGAAGGAAGTGATATTCAGGAGTCTGTTTTTTTTTCTTTTTTTTTTTTTTTTTTGATGTTAATTTCTCCTCAAAGCTTTAGTAACTGTAAAAAAAATGATTGTATTGATTAGATTTAAAATTAAATTAACAAATTTTAGTATTTATCAATGTTAATTGCTTTATATAGATATGTATGTATCTGGGAAATTTTTCTTCCTAACGATGCATAATCATTTTTAAAGATTTCATTTTCTAGTCAATCTTCTACTTCATTTTTTAGCTTTCAGTTTTCTTTTTTTTTTTAAAATTCTTCTTTAGTTTTTTCTTTTCACTCAAAAACTTCTTTGTTGTAATTGAATTTATAGATGTCCGGAAGATACGATGGAAGATTGGAATGATGAACCGGAATATTTGATAGCAATCGAAGATAGAGAATTACGTCAATTTGCTTTGGAAATTCATGCATTATGGAAAAAATTATGTCATATCGTTAAGCCTGAAGTTATCTTTAATGAATTATATAACACTTCAAGCTGAAATTTTAACTTTCAGTAACATATTAAATGGCGAATGGTAATGTTTGATAAAAAAAAGTTTTAAAGTTTTGACAAGGTCCATTGTTTAATGCGCTGTGATAAATGTTCTGGATTATTTTAAATTAAATAGTAAAATAACTATTTAAGAAGTTACTGCTTGAAAGAGAAGAGAAGCGATGAATATAGGTTGATTAATTAATTAATTAACTTCTATTTCGCATCATTGTTTCTTATCAGAAGTTTTATCTAATAAGCATTCATTTTAAAATTAAATAATTTAGGTAAAAAATAATCCAAAACGTTATTCGATATTATATTTACCACATGAATTTATAATAGCAGGTGGTCGTTATCGTGAATTTCATTACTGGGATACTTATTGGATCATAAAAGGTTTGCTTGCTTCAGGTATGATTTCATTAAATTTTGATTAAATATTTTTTAGTGAATTGAAGATCAATCTGGGATACTTATTGAATCATAAAAGCGGATATTTTTTGGATCATTAATTAAATTTGGTGAATTTAACTTCTTACGTTTTTCTTATTTTACCCTTCTTACTCTATAATCAATTTTTATTATTAAAATTAATTTATTTGTTATGAATTAAAAAAGATAAAAGGATTTGAATAATATATTCCAACAATACGTCATTCAAAAAATTTAATCTTTCTTATACTGTAACGTCTCATTGTATAAGTTAATTATAATAAAGAATAATAATTTTACATCATTTTGTATTTAATTAAAAAAATATTATTTCAGGCTATGATTTCTGTAATTATTAAACAGTAAATATTATAGTTTTGCAATATTTACTTTTTTTTTTGTAAGGTATGCATGATACGGCAAAACATATATTACAAAATTTTAAATATTTAATTGAAAAATATGGATATATACCAAATGGCGGTCGTACTTATATGTTACAACGTACTCAACCACCATTTTTTATTCCGATGGTTTATGAGTATCATACTGTTACAGCAGATGATGAATTTTTACTGAGTGTTATGAGTACTATGGAAGCGGTAAATTTCAAGGAATATTTAAATTATCACTTAATAATAATATTGCATTTGATTATAGTAATATATTGTTTAATTTTTTTAATGAATTTTTAATGAATGTTGTTAAAATAATTAATTAAGTAAAATAGAATTAGATAATTTAAGTTAATAATAATATGATCAATTATTGTTATAAATAGATTTAACAAAATATGTAGCTAATTTCTATAAGTCGTTATGCAATCATATGTGATAATTGTTATCTGTAACAATAATTGTTATCACAATAATTGTTATCAATTCCCATTAACTAATCAAGATTGTAAATGATTTATAGCAAAAAAAAAAAAAAAAAAAAAAAAAAAAAAAAAACCAACTGAAAGAAAGTGTAATAACAATAAATATAAAAGTAAATAAGATGGTAAGAAATTATTTGATAATTTATTAAATGAATGATTATTGATTTAGACTTTTATTTAAATATCAAAAATAATTATATGATGAAATGATGACTGTGTGTACATATTTAGAATTAAATATAAGCACATGAAAATTAAAAAATTAGCTACATAGAATTTTAGGAATATGCATTTTGGAAAAAATATAGGACAAAAACAATTTCAAAAAATGGTAAAAATTATACAATATTTCAATATATTTCTCCTGTCAATACACCACGGTTAGTGATCATGAAAATTCAAAATCATAACAGATAGATATAGTAATTTTTTTTCTCGGCACTTCTTTTTTACTTTTTTAATTCTAGTTAATTTTATAATTTACAACAGTAAAATTCTGCCATTTTTGTAGTCCAGAAGCATATCGTAACGACTTTTTTGCGGCTGATAATGTTCCGGAAATTAGACGTCGGCAAATATGGAATGATATTAACAGTGCTGCCGAATCCGGTTGGGATTTTAGCAGTCGATGGCTTAGCAATAGTAAAACGATGGATACAATTGAAACATCAAATATTGTACCGGTTGATTTAAATGCATTAATGTGTTGGAATATGGAAATTTTGGCACATTTACACGGAGAAATTGGTAAATAATAATTAGATAATTTGAAATTTCATCGGATTTTTATTAAATTTATATGTTTATATTGCTTTAAATTAAGAAAAGAAATTATTTCTATTATAACATTTTTTGTTTTAACTTTAAATATGCGGGAAAAATTTGAAAAAAAAATTTTATAGTGATTAATTATTTTTATTAATTATAGTGATTAATTATGAATGTATTTAGCAAGAAAAATCAAAATATTCTCCATAATTTCTTTTTGCACGGTTTCATATATGAAAAATTGATGAAATGGAAGAAAAAATTCTAAATTGAAATTAATTATTTTTTTTTATTTAAATTTCAATCTTTCATTTTAAAAATTTCAAATATTTTCATTTTACCAATTCCTATATTTAGGTGACACAAATCGTCGGGCAGAAATAAACATTGAAAGAGCAAAATTTGTTGATACATTTGAAGCGGTATTTTTTGATGATCGTGAAGGCTCATGGTTTGATTTTAATTTAAATACCGGTGAACGTGTTGATGATACCTATCCATCTATAGCCGTTCCATTATTTACCGAATGTTATAGTAGTTTAAATAGTCCAATGTTGGTTGAAGTATTAGGGACTTTACAACGTAAAGGATTATTACAATTTCCTGGTGGTATACCGGCAAGGTTATTATTATTTATCTATTTTAATTGTATATAATTAGAGTAGATTTATATCTATTATCTGTACAATAATTTCAGTACCAAATAATTAATATTTAAGTCACTCGATCTTTGCAATAAATAACGGTTAAATCAGTATAATTTATTATTATTTATGTAATTTGATTCATCAAAAAGATGTTAATTGTAAAATAATTTGGCAAGTTAATTATATGATAAGTAAGATGAGCATTTAATTGAACGATTAATTAGTGATAGTAAGAAATGCGATAGCTGCTGGTAATTTATCATTTTGATTATTACAGTTTAATTCGTAGTTCAAAACAACAATGGGATTATCCTAATGGTTTTGCTCCAATCAATCATATGGTTATCGAAGGTTTACGGAAATCAAATCATCCAATGTAAATTAGTATTATGAATTGTTCACCTTTTATAAGACATAAATTCTAAAATGAAAATTTAATTCTAAAGAAAAAAAATCAATTAAACCAAACAAAAAAAAAATTAATTCAAACAGTAGAATAGTTTGATATTAATACAACTAAAGGTTTGATATAAAATGAAACGGCTGTTTCAAAAGAAAATCGAAATAAGACTTAATAAATTAATATTTTACTTTATACTTTAATAACTCTGGTCGTGAAATTAAAAATAATGGAAGAAAGGGAAAAAAAGCATTGAGATAATATTTATTTGTAAAAAAAAATTGATGCATTTTTATTTTATCAAAAAGTTAATAATCATAATTAAATGCTACTAATAACTACTTGGAAGTTAAATTATCAATAAACAATTGAATTGCAAATAATTCAATAATTAGAGATAAATATTAATGATAATACAAAAGATCAAATTGATTGATATAGAAATTTGAATGATAAATTCTAGTATGCAGCAAAAAGCATTTGAGTTAGCAAGTAGATGGATCAATCGAAATTATGAAGTTTATCAAACTGATCGTAAATTATGGCAGCGATATGATGTAGCCGACGATCATATACGATCAGCAAATGACGATGATAATGAGGTAAACAATTTTTCATTCTTTAATTATAATTAAATCATATCTTTCCATGCATATTAAAAAGACCATTGTTGTTTTCACATTTTTTGAAAGATTTGAAATGAAAATTGATAAGATATAAATATTTTAAAAATAATAAGTTGGAAAAAATAAATCTGCTTAATTAAATTGTTGTATACAATAAATGGAAAAATTCTAGACGAGAAATAAAAAGCGGAAATGAGTTTATAAAACAAACGAAACAAATAATTGTTTTCTCCACTCGACTCTATTTTAATCTTCCATTTAATTTATATTTATCGTTGTGTCAATTAAGTATCATAAAATAGGATTAAATTTTTCTAAAAATAATTAAATTTATTTTATTGCTTTTAATATCAACAAATAAAAGGAAGAAAAAAGCATTCTATTATTGTGCTATTTCATTGTTTGGTAGCGGTTTTTAAACGACAAAAATGAAATGATGAATTTTAAAAAGACATTTTTTTTCATTTCAAAATAAATTTTAAACAATCAAAAAGAAATTTTTTTTTGTTAGGAAGGTTATGGGTGGACAAATGGTGCATTGTTGGATTTAATGGTAACATATAGCAAACGGATTAGTGTATCCGATAAGACCATAACATCAGATGTGTCCGAAATAAACGATAACGAGCCAGTTGATATTTTAATAAAAAAATTAGAAAATATATTTGGTTCATGGATATCCACCAAGAAACGTCTAATACGTATAGCTTCTTACATTCTCAAATGTAATTAAATCCGGCAAGCAGAATAGTTTGTGTTGTAATCAATCTAACTGTAATAGTTATAGTAATTTTATAGTGAATATGTTTATTATTATTATTGTTATAAAATTTTGCTGTAAATAATATGAATAAATAAATAAATTATAAATAATTTATGTTGAAGTATTGTTTAATGTATTTTGAGCAGTAATTTAATCAGCAATACAATTAAATTAAATATAATTCAGAAAAGGAAGAAAAAAGAATTTCACTACGCATATATCATCCTGCTTTTCATCTTTATTAAGATTTAATTAAATTTGAGATTAAATTTTTTTTAAAAACTGAACATTATTTAAGGAATTTAAACAATGGTCTTAAATGTGCTCAATATGCCCCACTAAGCAAATGCTTAAAAAAAATGAATAAATAAATAAACGATCAAAACAAATAGTAAATAACACAAAAGAAAAAAAAACTCCAATAACGGAAATTTAATCATACAAATAAAATTATTCAAATAATAAGGCATGTTCAAATAAACTGAATATAAAACTTATCAATTACGGTCGTTGTAATTTAAATAAATAAAGAAATTATTTTAATTTTCCATTTATATTTTATAAATTGAAAGAAAAAAGAAAAATTCTTGTTCTTTATTTTATTGTAAGGAATTAATATAAGATTAAAATAAAATAAGTGAAGAAAAGAAATGAGAAGAATAATATATCATTTGATTGTTGAAGGCTCATTTATTTTATTGCTATCATTTCAAATCAAAATCATTAAACGATTTCCTTCTTTTGTCAACCACTGATGAGACAGATGGAAAAAATAGAAGTAAAAATGGGTGACATTAAACAGGAATATGCGACATTTGTTTTCCATTCATTCTTCATTTGAAACTATTATCTATATAATCTGTATTTGCATATTCATTCATTTACTTGTTCTTTTTCTATTCTTTCTTTTGAAATTTGAATTTATTCGAAATTTTTGAAACAATTTATTTTTGTTATTATTATCATTTGAAATTTTAGAATTTTTAAAAGTTTCTAACCTCAATGATTTTTTGATAAATAAATAAATTGTTGAATAGTTTCTATTAATTAATAAGACTATTAACTAATATAAATTATTGTTATCACTATTATTTTGTCATTTATAATATGTCATTTATTTTTAAATGTTATTAGAAAGAGGCTAAAAAAAGAGGAAAAAAAAGAAAAAAGAATGTGATAAAACGACTCAAAAATAATGCCCGAAAGTGATATCAGTTAATAACATCACTGATAAAAACAATAATACATTTGCTCTTTTTTTATTCTTATCATTTTGTTGTCTCACTTTCTCACCACTATCATTTTTATCACTTTTTATCAACTTCATGAAATCGAGTTTTTTTCTTTTTTTTGTTTCAAAAATTTCAAACAAATAAATTTATTATAAAATTTGAAGACTCAAAATTTTTTTTCTCAAAAAAAAAGAAAAAAAAAGAAATGAATGGTTGTTTTTGAACAAAATGGGTGATCGAAAATGAAAAAAAGAAAAAACCAAATGGGTCATCTGTTATTAATTACAAATGATATCACTGATAATGATGGTGACAGCAATAATAATATATTTATCATCTGCCAGAAATTATCCCTTTCTGTTGAATTAGAACGATAAATCAATAAAAGAAATATTTTATTAGAAATATGTCCAAATGGTTTAATCCATCGAATCATTTCTTCCTCACTTATTCTTATTTTATTAGTAATATAATCGCATTTTCTGTTAATTTCAGTACATTCTATAGATTTATTTTACAGCAAAAAAAATCAATCAAAGAAATTAAATTATTTTTTAACAATTATTATTAAATTAACATATTATTTTTTTATAAATCATATAAACTTAACCTTCATCGAAAATAAATGTTATCATTTGGTTGAAACTTTTCTTCTATGAATACTTAAATATTTGATTAAATAATTGAAATTGGGTGAGTAATGTTTTAATTTGTTTTAATAAACACTAAAATTTTTTGCAACTTTTATATTTTATTATTTGTTTTCCTTTTTTTCCTGTCTAAAATTTCCATTTTATTTTTTTAAAATTTCTATTCCAAGTACGTAATATCGTACAAGTTTAAGATAAACGTGTTTTTCGCATACTTTTATTGTGAATAATACCCGACGATTCATTTTCATTTCACAAATAATCTGATTATTATTTACAGATAAAACTCAAAAATTCTAACAAATGATATTTTCTTTCTTTGTTTTATTGTTTTTTTTTGTTGTCTAAAAAAATCAAATTTACTTTTCCAAATTTTACTTTTCACTTAAAAAGAATTGTTTATTATCTAAAAAAATGTTTTTTTAAGTTTCCTTCCTAACAAATCCTATTCCGTTTCTTTTTAATAAAATAAATCATCATGTCATATTAACTGCAAAAAAAGCTATAATCTAATCAATTGTAAAGCTCAATTTTAAGGAATTGAATACCAAATTAAATCGTTTTGCAAAAATGAAAATTTGATATTATAAATATAAAGAATAATTATGAAAATGAATAGATTTTGAAAGATTAAATCAATAAAACTGTGATTAGTTTTATAATAATTTATTTACAATAAATACTTATTTGATAATTTCTTAAATAACACTTAGAACGTATAATTAGTGAAATACGCTTGATGTGAAAATACATTCGAAATCTATTTGGAAGGGAATTCGTACAAAATTTTGTAACTTTTTTGTTTTTATCAAAATTAGATGAATATATATGTTTTTATCAAAATTAGATGAATTTATAGTAAACAATGATAATTGTGATTGGATTAAAAAAAAGGAAGTGACTGGCGATTTTTCGCTTAGCCTAATTATTAAATTAAAATTATTTGGATAATACTTTATTGATAAAATCATATTCAGATATGAAAATAAAAAAAAGAAAAAGATCTTTTCATATCGTTTGAATCCGCCAACCATTTGAAAAATATCTAATTCAACAAAATTGAATAAAAGAACAAAGTGGATAGCTTTGTAAATTTGGTCTTTCATTAACAATCAAATTAATTAATTAGGTTTAAGTCGAAAAATCGCCAATCGCTATTTTTTATTTTTAAAATATATTTTTTTTATCATTATTAATTAATTAATTTATTTTTTATTCACATCAATTTTATTAAAAAAAATAAGGGAAAATCATCTAAATTTTAATATTCTTTCTTATTTTTTTTCAATTGAAATAAAATTTAAAAAGCAAAAAAAAAGAAAAACGAATGAAAATTTTCTATAATAATGAATAATTTGAAATTTTTCAAATATTAATTTTCCTTTTTATTCTTCCCTCTCTTCCTCTCTCTTTCTCTCCCATTTTCTTTTATTTCCTTTTCTTCTTTTTAAATGTTTCAAATTAATTTTTTTCTAAAATTCTCTTTTTTCGCTCATATTTACGCTTTTATGCTTTCAATGTTTAGAATATTGTTATAAACAAAAAAGAAAAAAGAAAGCAGAAAACAAAAAAGTTTTCCTCTCTTTAATTTTTTTATCTTTTTCACTGCTTTTTTCATTATGAGTTATTCTTTCATATAAGCAAGAAAAAGAAAAAAGACGGTCGACTGATACATCTGTGACATATTTTTTCATTTATTTCAACATCCTCAAAATTTTAAATTTCACATTTTCCAAAAAATTTTTCATTTTGAAAGCGGAAAAAAAGCATGTATAATTGATGTTTTAAAGCTTTAAATACCATTTAAATTAAAAAAAATTTAGCTGGAATTGTAAAATATCTTTTTTTTGTCAAAAAAACATAAATGTAAACTTGCAATATTACATATTTCCATTACTAATGTGTGTAATTTAAAGCTCTCAATTGCAAAATTTAAATATTTCGATTAAAAATTTCAATGTAAGAATGTTTTATAGCAATGATTTTATAACCGGAACAAATCATTTAACCTAGAATTATTCACCGAAATTATTTAAATCAAATTGAAAGCTTACGAAATCGATCAATAATATATGATTTAAAAATGCGTAATTTAGATTCACTTGTCATTGAAATTACTTTTTTTATTCCTTCATATTTTTATAGAAAAACTGAATGAACTATTCAGACAACTTTTTTTTTTCAAAAGTCATCAAAAATTCACCTTTAAGAATTTCATTTTGTGATAGTTTTTCTTTGTCTTTAAAATTTTAAATTGCATAAAAAATTGCATCTTTTTAACCATACTTTCAATGTTCTTTCTTTTTCTAAACTTGTTGTAATGCGTTATTACATCATCATTAAAAGGTTTAACAATTTCAATTAAAAGTCAAATAATTAATTGTTCTATAATTAATGATTTTCTGATGTGATTTTTTCTTTTCTTTTTTTCTTAAATCTTAAATTTGAATTTTGAAACAATTAAATTTTATCAAAAGCCAAGTACAAATGTTTCAAACATTACATAATGAAAGATATTCTGTTTTCATTTGTTGATAATTTTGAATAAATTAAGTCTGAAAAATATTAAACACTAACGAAAATAATTTTTATGTTTTTAGCATAAATAAAGTAAGAATAAATAAAGCGCTCTTTGTTTATTACTATTTGTTTAGCATGATTGATCCATTTTGATCGAGTCAAAATTTTCTTTAAAAAACTATCGATTTGCTGGCACAATTTTAATCGAAAAGACTTCCTTAAAACAACAATAAAATAATTGGAAAAATTGTTAATCTGATTAAACTATAAACAAATGATTATCATTTTAAATATGATAACAGTATTAGATATGATAACAATATTTGATGTGATAATAATATTAGTAGCAAAGACGAAAAAGGTTAGCCATAAGAAAAATAATCAATTAATTGAAGTAGAAACTTTAATTTTTGCAATTCTTTTAAAATAAGAATAAAGAAAAATTTCATCAATACATCAATCAAAATTGGATTGGTTGCAGAGTATAACTTTGCCGTATTAAATTTAAAAAATTTATTAAAAAATTTGTCAGTTCTTTGAAAAAAATTTTTTAAAGGAAGTTTTTTTA